CTTACAAGTTTGCCTCTCGCTGAAATATAAGGCACCCCCGAAAATAAGACCTCCCTGAAAATAAGGCCCCCCGAAGCTACCGTAACTCTGGACTCTGGATTGTAGAGGTGGGAGCCTCCACGCAGCTCACTGTTGGCCGCAGCACAGCCAGAGCAAACAGCAAGTGCGAGATCTCTTTTAATAAAATAATCAAACAAACCATAAATGTGTACCGTATTCTTCTTCATGGAAAAATAAGACATCCCCTGAAAATAAAACCCAGAGCATCTTTGGGAGCAAAAATTAATATCAGACACTGTCTTAGTTTTGGGGAAACAGGGTAGGTGACTTGTCAAAGGTGAGGCAAGGAGGCGATAAGAGGGACAAGTCACTCCTGTAGCAGGTCTGTCTACCAAGCTCATTTCCCTCCCATCATGCTGAGCAGGTGCCCTAAAAAGGCTTCCCTCCCATGACCCTGTATTCCACACTGTCCTGCTGCATTTCCCACGGCTGCTTCATTCACCTGCCGGAGGGCTTTTCCATGAGTGGACAGCACATCTTGGTGGGTAGCCGAGAGCTCAGAGGGCCTGGGTAGTAAGGGGTGGTGGTGGTGGTGGTGGCAAGAATGGGCTACACACACACACACACACACACACACACACACACACACACACTTCCCAGGGCTTGTGACAACACACCCTTCCAGACAGGAGACACGAGACAGGGTAGCCAGGTCTCAAACACCATGGTCATACAGGCCCTGGGCTAGAAAGACAAAAGTTCAAATCCAGGCTCTGGCACCAGTCAGCTGACAACCTCTGTAAGCATCCTCCTACATCCTCACCACAGCCCCTTTATTTTTTTAATAAATCATTTCATTGGGGGTTCATAGAACTCATCACAATCCATCCATCCATCCATTGTGTCAAGCACATTTGCACATTTGTTGCCATCATCATTTTTAAAACATTTTCTTTCTACTTGAGCCCTTGTTATCAGCCTCTCATTTTTCCCCTCTCCTCGCCTCCCTTCCTCATGAGCCACTGATAATTTATAAAAAAATTTTTCATCCCTTACACTGACTGATGTCTGCATTTACCCACTTGTCTTTTTCTGTTGTCTATACCCCTGGGAGGGGGTTATAAGTAGATCATTGCGATTGGTTCCCTCTTTCTCCCCCCACCTTTCCTTTCCCCTCCTGGTATGGCTACTCCCAATATTGGTCCTGAGGGGTTTATCTGTCCTGGATTTCCTGTGTTTCCAGTTTTTATCTGTACCTGCGTTCATGCTCTGGTCTAGTCTGATTTGTAAGGTAGAACTGAGATCATGATAGTGGGGGGTGGGTGGGAGGAAGCATTAAAGAATTAGAGCAGCGGTTCTCAACCTGTGGGCTGTGACTCCTTTGAGGGTCAAATGAGCCTTTCACATGGTCACCCGATTCATAACAGTAGCAAAATTACAGTGATGAAGCAACAATGAAAATAATTTTATGGGTGGGGGGTCACCACAACATGAGGAACTGTATTAAAGGGTTGCAGCATTAGGAAGGTTGAGAACCACTGAACTAGAGGAAAGTTATATGTTTCCTCGGTGCTATACGACACCCTGACTGCACCCTGACTTCGTAACAAGTGTGCGGCTGGAAGGGAGTAATGCTCTTCTGGAACAATCCACAGCCATAAGGCAAAACACCTGCCCCTGGTGCCCCCCTGACTTCAGACAGTAACTCCTATTAATACAAACCACTCCTGCCCAGTGGATTCGAACTTACGGTGACTCTATAGACTTGAGCAGAACTGCTCCGTAGGGTTTCCAAGGCTCTCACCTTTAAAGAAATACATGCTGTCTCCTCTTTTTCCCAAGGCGTGGATGAGACGTCTGAAGCGCCCACCTTTCAGCTCACATACAGAGTCAGAAAAGGCTCCTTTGGAGAGTTTATTAGTAATCCAAGGAGACCACATGCACCTTGTGAGAAAACTGGCTTAAGCCCTGGCAGCAGGTTCACATTCCATGATCACCCCGCCTCAGCCCTACACAGACTGATTTCTCCACCCAAACACAGAAGGGCAGGCAATATACCCAAGGCTCACAGCCAGCCACTTTCAGGAATGGGAAGTTTCTAACTTTACAGTTTTCTTATTCAAAACTCATCTATTCCGGCAACTGTTCTGAATTGTGCCACAGACACAAGCGCAGAAGCTGCCAGGCAGGGCAGGGCTGGGTCATCCCAAAGTGCTCCTCCCCACAGGATGCACTGTCAGGATTCCACGGGAATCCCGGACAAGAAGCTTTCATTGGGGACCAGCATGAAGGAAACCAGGACATGGAGGCCATGACAACCCATCTCCCTGGTTCTGTCCAGACCTGGTTCTGTCCAGAGACTGAAAGCCTGGTTTCACTTAGCCTGGTTTCTAACAGAAGGATAAGCCCGCAGTCTGATTCCAGCCAAGAGACAAAGCCACACCCTCACTCACTCTCACTCGCTACCACTCAGGTGATTCTATCTCATAATGACCCCCGGTGGCGCAGTGGTTACGGGTTGGGCTGCGATCTGCATGGTTGGCAGTTCTAAGCTACCGACAGCTCCATAGGTGCAAGACTGGGCTTTCTCCTCCCATCAACAGTTGCAGTCTGGGCAATCCATAGGGACGAATAGGAGTCAGCGTTGACTCAATGGCAGTGAGTTTGGTTTATCTGAGGGCACAGTGAACTGCCCCAGTGGGCTTTAGAGGCTGTCAATCATTATGGGAGTAGAATGCCCTGTCTCTCAAGTTGCAGCTCGTGGTTTTGAACTATTGACTTTTAGGTAAGCAGCCTGCCATGTAACCACTAAGCCACAGCCAATTGCCACCAGAAGGCTCAAACTTGCAGCCCAGGCCAGGAGCAGCAGAAGTGTCCATCACTTGGCCCCAACCAGAATGGTATTACATTCTGAATGCAGTGCTAATTTACTATGGGAAACAGAAAGATTTCTCCCAATTTGTCTTTCCCAAATACACCGCAAACTTGGCTGCTTGCTACACATGGTGAATGACTATACACGTGGAGGTCAACAGAAGTAAGTCAGGGGTTATTCTCCCTTAAGGTCATCAGCCATTTAGAGCAAGCAGTCACCACTGTCTATCCCACAACAAGTAGGGCCCACTCCCTTCTGATAAGGATAGTAGTAAATTGTTTCCCTGAAGGAGAGCCCAGGGAGGTCTAACCCACTCAAGGGTGACCAAGGTTAGGCCACCATCATGAATCTAAGGTCCGCCCATCTTGTCACATGTACACCCCTAGCTCATCCGCTTCCTGTCATACTTTTGTACAGCCCCTTCCTATGACGTGTGGTTACCTGTAATCACACCCCCTTAAATAGATATAAGCCTTGGTTAGCAATAAATGGGGTCTCCGCCCCAACTCACCTCGGCCCATGCTGTGTGCGGACCTGGCTGGTAAGCTCATGGTCATCCAGGAGGTGGGCATGCTACCGTGGAATGTGGCTGACTTCTTTATTTCACTCCTGTCTCTCTCATGCTCTCTGACTTGATTGTAATCTTTATATATCGCAACCAAAAATTGCACCTATTCAACCCACGATTCGTTGTGAGGGGCTGGCCTTTCCCCCCCACAGTTGACTTCATGTTATACATCTAGGTTTCTCTTTCTCTTACAAACTTGTAAGATTCCCCCAGGCTGTCTGAGTTCCACATGGCATTCCTACCCGGTGGAGCAGCCGCCTCCCTTCACGTGGATTCCTAAGCTTACTGATCCTAGGAGACAGGGTAGAACTGCTCCCGTGGGTTTCCGAGACTGACTGCAGCTCTCCGCGGCAGGAGAAAGTCTCATCTGGCTCCCAGGAGTAGAACAGCTCCCTAGAGTTTTTGAAACTGTACAACTTCATGGACACAGGCAGCCTCCTCTTTCTCCCGCATTGTAGCTGGTGGGTTTGAACTGATGACCTAGCAGCTGGTGGCCTGGAACTAATACCCACCCCACTCCACCAGGGTTCCTGCAGGGAACCACAAGCTCAAATGAAAACACATCTAAGAGAAGAGGCTATCTTTTGCATTTAAAACACTGTGCAGCTTCTACATAGAAGAATTCATTGTAAGGGTGGCCCCTTCACCTTTGGATAACCAAATCAGCTGCTTTCTGTGAAGACTGCCTATGGAGCGTTGTTGAAATCATTCTCCTCTGACATTCTTAAGGGGGAGAGTGGAGACAGATAGAATCAGCTTGTGGGTAATGACTCTCACGCAGGGCACAAGACAGACAAACATTTTATTATGTAATTGTGTCCTCGAGTCTCTGCATCCAAATTTCAGTGTCGCGTAGATGTCTGTGTTGAACTGAATGAAGGGCAAAGGGGAAAATCTCATTCTTATCACACAACAATCACGAAATGGACACAGATCCACAAATGCAAAGAATTCAATGTGTCATATAAAAACAACAATGTTGATCTTAACAGATAACGGGTGTTAAAAATAGTCGAAAGCCCTAAGGGAGTGTTTGCCACAGTGGGCACTGGGAGGATCCAGAGAGGCCACAAAAGCAGGCTCCCACATTTTATTTTAGATTATGGGCTATTGCTATCGTACAAAAGTTTTTCATTTTTAGGGAGGCAATGGAGGAATTTTTTTTTTTCCCTGAAAAATGGAGATTGGGGGTTGGGCAGGTGGTCATAAGTCAAATAAGTTTGGGAACCCAAGAAGGGACACAGAACCCATAATTAGTTCACTACATGGGGGCTTCAAAGAGTTAGTGGGAAATTTAGAATGAAAAGATAGTGGGGATTTTTTAATGAACTTTCTCAAGACCTATTGTATTTTTGGAATGTTTTCATCTTGCCCAGAGCATCTGTCTGCCAAGTCACAGGCATTCCTGAAAGGAATTCTTCTACAGCCCTCCCCACGCCCCCGGATGTAGAACATTCTCTTGCAACCTGTGCAGCTCCCCGCAGCAAACCCGTCACGGGAGGCAGTGCAGGGGCCGTGCCACTGAGAGAAATGATGACCGAAGGATCAGGACCTTACCACTTCTGGGAGCAGCCTTGTGGAAAGGTCGTGGATAGCTTTGACCACTATACAGATGGACGACAGAAGGAAGATCACCCCCAGGATGACACAGGCTCTGCAAAGAAGCAAACATTGAGACTCTCAGCTGAGAGGACGCCACCTTGCTGAAGAGCTGACACAATGGCAGCGACTGTGACCCAGCCAGGGCACTGGGATACGGTCATTATTGGCCACACTCCCCAAGTGATCATGTCTTATGGCTGTCAGCGAGCCGTTCTTGGAGTTGTATCACCGAAGCCAACCTCATGGGAAGCAGGCTCATCATTCTACACAACCTCACAGCAGCCCATGGGAAGGGTCTTCAGGGTATGAAATCGGTAACCCTGCCTGGCAGCACCTGGCACCCCACCCCTCCTCCAGTAGAAGGGTGTGAAGTCAAGCATGGAAGCTTTGGCCTGAGACACCCCAGCTTTACCACTTGTTGTCAAATGGGAACAACTGTGCTTGGTAAAGTAGGAGGGCAGCGAAAAAGCGGGCGAATGTTAAGTAGGCTAGCGTAGGGCTGGGACGTCCATTTAAGGCAGGCCCAATGGTCCAAGCTATGGAAACAAAGGAGTGGCACACTGTACATGCTCAGAGGTTCAGGTTTCCCTACTGGGTAGGCATGGGAGGGCGCTGCACCTGGATTGGCCCACCTAGGCCAGGGAGGGCGCTACACCTGGATTGGCCCACCTAGGCCAAGTGAATTCAATTCAGCCAATGGGGTCGACCAGGGGTCGTCCACCACGCCTCCCCACAAAAACATTGAAAAGGGAGGAGCCCGCAGTCAACCGGGAGATCTTGCATGACTCTGCAAGCAGCTTCCAGGCAAGCTGTATGTTCGGGAGGAGCCCTACGGGTGCCCATGTAAACCTGAAACTTCTAACACTCAGAAAACTCACTTGGATCACAAACCAGGCTTCGGCATGAATTCTTTCTCGCGCAGAGCCAAGGACCGAGGTATATCTAGCCCCAGAGAGATCTAACAAGACCCTCCAAAAGATGGACGGACACAGTGGCTGCATTGACAGACTCGCGAGAAGAACCCTGGTGAGGGTGGTGCAGGACTGGGCAGGGTTTCATGCTGTGGTGCACAGCAAGGATGTGAGTTGGAACGGACTCGATGGCACCTAACCACAACAACACCAAGGGCACCTGAACATGAAGTAAGGAAAGCACAAGATAGCAGAGGTAACCCACTAGAGTTAGCTTAGACACAGGCAAAGATAAACCTGCTCTGATGTCTCCTTCTGATCTGACGGGATAAGCCAGAAAACACACTCAGTTAGCTGCTGATTCATCCATATGTATCAGAGTAGAGCTGTGTTCCACAGTTTCCAAATGGTTTGTTTGTAACTAGATTGCCAGACCTTTATTCCGAGGCACATCTAAAATAAAAACCAATGCCGTCAAGTCAATGCTGACTCACAGCGACCCTATGGGACAGGGTAGAACTCTCTCTGTGAGTTTCCAAGACTAGCAGTTCCCTGGAGTAGAAAGCCCTGTCTTTCTCCTAAGGAGTGGCTGGTGGTTTTGAACTGCTAACCTTTCAAGATCACAACCCAACTTGTAACCGCTACGCCGCTAGGGCTCCTAAAGCACATCTGTTATCTGTGTAGACTCTAATCTCTAAACCTTCCAGTTAGCCGCTGAGGGTGTTAACTGTACCATACAGGATGTCAAGGCATGATAAGCACCTTTGGATTTTTGCAAAGATGAAAAGGAGAAGTGATCTGATGCTGAGGAAAGGTAGACTATTTATGGCAAGAGAGGGTGAGTCTATAAAGGGAAGTGAGGGAACCGGAGGAAGAATGAGGTCAACTAAAATACAGTCGCAGGAGGTGAGCAGGGGCACATTCTGGATGAGGTGCTGGGTGCAGCTAGGTGCCCGAGGGCAAGGATGGGCTGGAGAGAAAGGGAAGTCTGTGGCAAGAACAGAAGCAGGAGAGATGGACAATGAAGGGAACCCTAAGGAAGCAATGGTAAGCATGAACAACATATGGGCCAAAAGGCTGACTGCTGACAAGGGACAGAGGAACATGGAAAAAGAAATGACAGACTGGAGACAGCTCTCGGTCACCCCGTCTCAGCCTGGAGTCCCCATCATCTGGTCGATGGCTCAGCCCTCTCCCCGAGCTCCCTGCCCACCTGAGCTGGGAGGACTCAACCCAATGATAGCATTACCCTCCCTCATTAATCACCGTGGAGGTGAGCACACAGCCAGGCGAGATCATCCTGTAATCCAAAAGCAAATAAACACAGCGCTCACTCTCCACCTGGATTAATAGCATTGCTCTAAACTCTCCACATCGGTTTGAAGGGGAACCTCGGCTCTAGGCATGGAGCATACCCGTGGAAAGTCACAGTACTCCAATATCATAAACCCAAATCAAAGGAATAGGCAAGGCAGCTTGGAGGTAACCCAGGATGTATCTAACCCCCATTCTATTTGTAGTTTTTATTCTTTCCAAGATACAAATGTAAAGAAGGAAAAGCTATAGGGTCGAGCTAAATGGAAACAAACAACAAATGCAGCCCTTTTACAACATGGAATTTGCAGGCTGGTGCAAACAGCTGGGGCTTTTGACTACTAATCAAAGGTTGGAGGCTTGACACTACCGAGGGGTGTCTTGCCACAAATCCTTCCAAGGGCAATCTGCTTCCAAAAAACCAGTCACTGAAGATCCTGTACAACACCACACACCTGGGTCACTGTGAGTTGGAACTCACTCAATGGCACCGGACTTGGGTTTCTACAACCCAGAGAGGGAGAAGAAAGGAATGAGTTGTGAATCGCTGAATTCTTATTGTCAGGTGGCTTCAAGTCAGTTCTGACCCATAGTGACCCTACGTACCACAGAATAAAACACTGCCTGGTCCTGCTCCATCCTCAAGACTGTTCTTATGTTTGAGCCCGTTGTTGCTGCCACTGTGTCCACCGTCTCATTGAGGGGCTTCCTCTCATTTGCTGCTCTTCTACTTTACCGTGCATGGTGTCCTTCTCCAGGGACTGTCTGTCTGATAACATGGTAGGCGAGACAATGTCTTGGTGTCCTTGCTAGATCAAGAAGCATTCAGGCTGTACTTTTTCCAAGACAGATACTATATCTATGAATATGCTTATTAAACTTATAAATGAGTACATGTTTTAAACACTGATTTTCATGTTCTCTTATCTATTTATTTTTCCAAATTCATTTTCCAACGGTTTAAATCTATGGAAAAGAGTTGTGCAATCACTATCACAGTTAATTGTAGAACATTTTCTTCATTCTTGCACTCATTATTACTAGCTCCCTACTACCCACCCCCTTCCCCAACTTCCCCTGCCATAACCCAAAGGAAATATTAATCTAGTTAGTGTCGCTATAGATTTATTTTACCTATCCTGGATTTTATACAAAGAAATCATACAAAAAGCTTCAATGACAACAACAAAACAGAAAAATCTCGATCCAAGTGAAAGCATATGATAATAGAAACTGGAACAAATTTTAGAAATGAGTCAAAAGGGAAAATAAATTATAATACATTAAATTTTGACCTAATGATATCTGAAATAATCCACAATCAATGGTCTGAGGAAGGCTTTCACTGTTGTGGTAGTTACATAATTTCATGTCAACTTGATAAAAAAGTGAAAGGGTGGAGTCTTGTCTGTCAATCAGGTCACAACGTGATGACGCCTCCTGGTGGGCATGGCCTTCTCATGAGGATTCTGGGAACTTCCTCTCTTCCTCCCTGGATGAAAGACTCACTCTCTCTCTGCTTCACCTTCCTGTTGAGGAGCCAAATGGAGACCTGTGCCCATGCCAAGATGCTTCCACAGGCATTGGATCTACAAGACTTTTTACCCACTGGCTTGTGATCCTCCTGCATCAGCATCACTACATGTGCTGTGTGAATCTGAAGAGGAATTTATAGACTAGTACCGGACATATGTGTTAATATTGGACTTATGCACTTGATGTGGGCTCGGCTGGGATGTTTTCTCAATATGCTATTGCTCCATGATAGAAAACTCTCTCTTACACATATACGAGTGTCTCTGGATTTGTTTCTCTAGTCAACTTGACCTAACACAACTGTCATCCATAGGCTTCTGCAAACCAGATGCTCAGAATTTAAGCTCTAATACAATTCCCTCCTCTGATCTTGGGTTTTATTATTTATAATCCTTGAATCACTTGGGCTGGTGTGCTCCATTCGTGTGGACTTAGCTAACACCTTACTTCAATGGCTGCTTATTTTAAGATACAGCTTTTAAGACGCAGACGTTATTCCTCTGATAGCTGAGAACTATCTGATTTCATTGCTATAGCACCCATATCTTTAGTAAACACTTCATGAGGGCAAGCATTGAGCAGGGCCACATCATAAGAACTAATCATTCTTAGATTAGGGCTAATGATTAAATGCAAGCTTAAAATTCATTCATACATCTAAAGTATATATAAAGCCCCGGTCCACTTTAGAGACAGCATTATTATCAGCTTGATGAGAAATAAATTAAGTAACCCCAATGAGACATTTGGTAATTCTATGAATAGTTTCATTAATCTAGCCAATAGTATCTATTTTAAAATATACATATTTGGGAAGCTTTTTTAGACTAAAAAATATGGGATGTTCAACTATCCAGGTTAAAAACTTAGGTAACTCAAGTCCATGGGTCTGATGCTAGCTGGAGCCCTCTTCAGACTTACTTGGATGTAGGCTGATTATGCAGAAAAGTGAAGCGGGATGCAGGAAGACCACAAGCTGGTGGGTGCAGTCAAGTGGATCCAAGGTCAGTGGAAACATGGCAGGGCACTGACAGCTCTCAAGGTTGGATGGCCCACATGGGGCCATACCTAGAGGCAGGCACAGAGTCCCAGCAAGTAGTAAGGCAAAGAGAGAGAGAGGGGGGAGAGAGAGAGAGGCCATATCTGCTAGGAGGCATCTTCAGGCTGAGACCTGATAGACACGTTGGGCTCCACCCTAAGCAAGTGCAAGTTGACATAAAATCTAGCGGCCACACCACAATGCCACCAGGGCTCCTTTGTCACCATTACAGTGTCTATTAATTTGGCATAA